CAGAGAAGTATAGGCGGTTAGTGGGCCGGTTAATTTATTTGACATTAACGCGACCTGAGTTGTCTTATGGTGTCCATGTGCTCGCTCAGTTTATGCAGCAACCCAAAGAGGAACATTGGGAAGCTGCCTTGCGGATGGTTCGCTATTTGAAAGGCAATCCTGGCCAAGGTATATTCCTTCGATCAGATTGCAATTTGCAATTGCAGGCATATTGTGATTCGGACTGGGCCGGTTGTCCTTTGACACGTCGATCCCTCACTGGATACTTTATTTTATTGGGCAACTCTCCTATCTCTTGGAAAACCAAGAAGCAACATACAGTGGCAAGATCATCTGCTGAAGCAGAGTATCGGTCTATGGCCGTGACTATCTGTGAGCTGCGCTGGTTGAAGGGTCTGCTAGCTTCCCTTGGAGTGGTACATTCTGAACCTATGCAACTTTACTGTGACAGTCAAGCAGCCATGCATATAGCAGCTAATCCGGTGTTTCATGAGCGGACAAAACATATCGAGGTAGATTGCCATTTTGTGCGTGCGGAAGTTCAAAGTGGAAATGTTACCACTAATTATGTGCGTAGTTCAGAGCAACTAGCCGATATTTTTACCAAGTCGCTTGGGAGACATCAGCACGAGTATCTTCTTCACAAGTTGGGCGTTCGAGATCTCCACGCACCAACTTGAGGGGGGGTATTGAAGATTATCTTGTAGATACGTGTTTCTTTGTACCTTTAGTTATTCTCTGTAGTCTATCTCTGTATGCATTTGTATCTTTAGTTCGTATCTGTGGTTGTTATCCCTGAAAGTTCTCTTAGGAGTAGTTGAGGTATGATAGAACTCTATCATTGAAGCGTGATAGGATTCTAATTTCAGATGGGTACGTGATAGAACACGGCCCTTGCTATTGGTATATATGAAAGGCATGGCCACAAGAGGGACAGAGGTCCCAGGTTTTTCACAGTTTGAATATGCAAAGTGGACTTAATCCTTTTCCGGAACCTTGTTAATTGTGTTTTTTTCAGATAAATGTGTTTCAAGGTTTTCTATTATCCCACTATATAGCGAAAGAAATTCTTGGCTATGAAATTTAAATGATATATCTGCTGCGTATACCACACCATTCTACACAAACCTATTGTGATAGATAGCCACCCATTGATGTTTAATTCTCTTTTAAAACCTTTTGTGCTACACCTAACACTTTGAAATGTAATCCTGTTTCATTTAAACCATTTATATGTAGAAATATCAAAAGTCAAGATAGATTTAATTGTTCTACTATAACCATTTGTAACTGCCACTTCTTCCATCCAATAAATATAGTCATTGAACAAATTATGTTCACCAGCTAACTATTTGTTCTTCCTTCTTTGTTTATCATCTAGCCTTACAAAATGGCAAAAAGTTCAGCTTTAGCATCCATCCAAATTTCCCTTGTGCTATTACTAGCAATCGTTGTTTGTTTAGAAGTTAATCTTCTTGACCCTTACTGTTGCTACCGTGGGAAGGAAACAAAGATCACTGCGTACGTTCAACTATTTTTAGGCGGACCAAATGTCACAACTGTCCCAGTTGCCGGAGCCCTCGGTAGGCCGAGAATTCCTGAGGAATTTGGAACCATTTCTGTTAATGATGCTCGCTTAACAGAAGGCATCAGCATCAATTCTCTAACTGTCGGTCGAAGCCAAGGTCTTTATGTTTCTGCATCCCGTGATAATGTAAACTCATTTGACCTATTTTCCTTCCTTTTTACCAACGCACAATACAACGGTAGCACATTGGAATTCCAAGGACCAGGACTTGACTTACAAAATGTTACTACGGTGAGAGAAGTTTCGGTAGTTTCTGGCACCAAAACGTTTAGGTATGCTCAGGGATATGCAACTTTTCAGACAGTTCTACGAAGGCCAGCAATGAATTATACGGTTATAAGGGGCATTGTTACCATAAGGCACTACTGAGGAGGATGGGAAATTTGATTAATAAAGGGAAAACCAAAAATTAAGAAAGCCAGTTACAGATATTTAGTTTTATTTCAGACCATATACGTACTTGGTGGTCTATGTTTCTTTATGTACTCCTTGTTCACTCGACTATCTTAATAAGAACTACATCTAGAAGGATGGGAAAAAAAAATAAAAGTAAAATAATAATTAAGAAAACCAAGTATAGATTTTTATTTTTATTGCGGACTATTATGTATACTTGGTGATCAATGTGTGATGTTTCTTCTTGTACTTCTAGTTTCATCAATATGTCCATCGTAATCAATGTTTTAAAACCGGACCGTTAATTGAATCGGTGAAATGAAAGGATCGAGATTCAATCGGTCGGATTGGTACAACCCCGGTTCAATAAATTTTTTAAAAGATAATTTATATAAATATATATATGCACAAAATAAGACATGTAATGGACTAATTTAATACTTTATATGATGAAAAGTTTACTATTTTTTAATAACTTGGATTTTTAAAAATAAAAAATTTAAATTATAAGTTAAAACAAGTAAATTTCATTTCAATTTCAATTATATCTAAATCCAACCCAAAAATATCACAATATTTTGAAATTATGCAAAATTCACGTCTATGAGAATTTAGACATTGTGAACTTAAATTTTAATTTACGCTTTGGGATTTAGAGATTGCAATTTATAAAAGAAAGTTTGGAGTTCGAAGGAAGTCAAGAGAATCGAAAATAGAAATGTAAACTTAATAAGAAACAAAAAATGAGATAAAAGTGAGTGGTTGTGACATTAAATAATTTGGGTTAAAGAAAAATAATTCTTTTTTAACTTTTTTCAATTTAATGGACAAAAACAAAATTAAAAGATGGAAGAAAACATCAATAAATTAAAAATAAAGAGGTTTGATTAAAAAGGGAGTGACAAAAGAAAAGAGGATAGCACAAGAGAGAGAGAGTTGAAAATTAAAAAGAAAGAGCCATGAGAGGATGAGATTTTGTAAGAAAAATGAAAAAAAGAAATATGAGTATTTGAAATATGAAGAAATTTTTTTTTAAAAAAAATCAAGATGCGAGCTGGAGAAGCCGAGAGTGAGAAACGGAGGAAGTGAAATTGAAATGAAATGTGTCGTCTGCACTTTCTTGATGCTAGGGTTTTTTTATTTAATCTAATTTTACTTTTTAGTTAAGTATAATTCTACACAACAATACCTCGTCCTTGGGCTGTGGTGTAGTGGCAACGTACCTTATTGTTGGCTCAGAGACCCGAGTTCGAATTGGTAGTCTCCATTCTTGCTATTATTTTGAATTTGAGGTTATATTGTTTGAAAATTTGAGAACTGCCGGTTCGCAGTTCATACGGGTTTTAGCGGTTCGTCGGGTTCACGCGGTTCGTAGCGGGTTTGATATTGGACCGGACCGATAGCTTGGCCGGTTCGCGGTCGGACCGGTCGAACCTGCCGGTCTGGTCCGATTCTGAAAACATTCGTAATAAAAACACTGTTGGTGTTCTTCAATTACACTTGACTTCGTATTACGTAAGCTTGTGAATGTGTTAACATAAGCTATGTGCATTTACCAATAGAGATGTGTATTGAAACTTAGATAAAATCTACACCTAATTGTGGAATTTGCTTGCACCGATGGTGTACATTGATTATTGCTTTTTGCACATGCAAAATCCCCGTCTCAATATTTTGGGAAAATTTTTAATAATCTCCCCTAAAATTTTTGAATATTGCAGCTACCTCCTCTAAGGTCTTAGAAATTTATGCTTACAATACTTGATGTTTTGAAAAGACTATAATGGTCTTCACAAAAACTTAAGATACTAAGTGAAAATCATGTTGAAAAAAGGAAGAGGGAAACCCTTTTAAGCTGATGCCTCTCTATTCTAAAAGTTCTAAGTCTATCTGATGTAGTACATTATATTCCATTCCCAATTGTGCTAAATGGATTTCTTTTTGAGTTCTATGAAGAGCTAACCAGCTAGTAGGAAAACATTTGTTAAAAGAGATCTCTTCACAAATTAATTAGAAAAAAGGTATAGTCCAAGGACCAAAAAATGATGCCTTCAAAACATGGTTCAAACTACAAAGAACTATTAAAAATTTTTTACCCAGTAGGTATTTTTTTATTTTTTTATTTTTTGGTAATGGTGATATTTGACTTTTTTTAGCATCTAATTTGTTTTAGAAATCAGATAGGGGCAATGGCTCATGTTATGACATGTTTAACTTGCATAAAAAAAAATACAACTGAGATTTGATGTGCTTAAGCACGGCCTCCCCATTTTATGACATGTTTATGAAGCCACACATTTGATGTGCAAGATTTTCAGTTTTTCACTTGCACAATTGAGACCGCATAGATTTGCTTGTAAGCATGAGACTGGAAGAACCCGTTTAGGATTTGTTGTACATAAGTTTTGAATGGATTTGTTCTTTAATCTTTCATTTCTCGAATGAGGATCAAACCTGCATGATACTACGCCATATTACTCTGTCCGAAACCGTGTTCAGTATTGAGAAGTCAATTGACTGAAATTTAAAAGCATTGAGTAAATTTTAGTTCTTACTTGTTGCTATGTTAAACCTATATGGACTTCTCAGATATTTTAGATATTTCAATCTTTTGAAAATTCCACGTTTATTCTATTTCATTTCCAAGTTCCAACAATTCTCTCTAGTTTTATTCATGTCTTTCACAAAAAAAATTATTTCAAAAGGAACGAAATTGGTTTCTTACAATTTTTTCTTGTCAGTGTTTGAGTCCTGTAAGAAACAAATACCTTGTTAGATCTAAATAAATACCTTGGATAAGGAGAGACTTATTCCAATCTCCCCCACCAAAGTCACTTGATTATCAAACGCTCCTCGATCCTCATGTGTATGTATCTATCTCAATGGTTGGTGATTTTCCCTTATTATAATCGTCATTACACATATAATTGGTAGTACTAATAAATAAAGTTGTTAGTATTATGTAGAAGCCAAAAGGAGATACAAGTGTCCCAAAATTGACTTTTACAGTAGAATTCTACAAAGAATCAAGCCCATTGTTAAAAATAGCAGTAAAAGCATCCATTCTTGGCTTGGAAAGGGATAAACCAACCTCAATATCTCCATCTGTTTCTCTACTCCCACTAAGAGAAATGGCCCCTGAAGTATCAATCGAAACGAACTCGAACTTTTTAGGCTTTCCCCATCCAAAATCCAGATTGTAATAGTTATACCTTGGTGAGCCAGCCACGGAAACCAGCCTGTCCAAATTTATACCCGCAGTATCCGGCAACCACTTGTCAGCATCGTCGAAGAGTGAATCATTGTTCTTCAATCTCTGATGAATGCACTTGGAATTCTCGGTGACATGTTTTTCTATGCCAATCCAATGCCACCTATAGTATTGCACAAAGTGTCCTGTTATTATTTACACTTATGTTAAACCAAACCAAGTTGAATTATTAGAAAATTAACCAAACCAAGTTGAATTATTAGAAAATTAAAGTGTAAATAATAACAGGACACTTGGCACAATATTATAGGTGGCATTAAATTGGCATAGAAAACATGTCACCGAGGATCCCAAGTGCTGATGAATGGCATCCCCGATTAACTCAACTGCAATTGGAAATCCTTCTTCTCCAATTAACTTTCCATTTTTTCATTTTTCCTAATAAGTGTTTGGCAATTGCCAAAATAATTGGAAGGTAAAGGTGGATCCATACGTCCTCTACAATCAGCCAGGCAATAAAAGTATTCCACCTCACCTTTATCCACTTGTTCTCCACTTGGACCACGACATTTTACCAAGCAAGTCCAAACATGGGCACAAATTACCGTAAATGATGATAAATGAACTAATTGTGGCCGTTTTTGCCGGGCTAAGTTCTTGAGTTTTTCAATATTGTTTCTGCTAATAACAAAAGATCTGCGAACTTTTTCTGTTTTGGTCGTAGGTTTTGTTGTAGTATCAGTAGAACTCTCATTTTGAAAAAACTTTAAGAAGACGACCCCTTGGTCCCGAAAAATTGAGTTAAGTCCCTTTGTGTCTTTGATCATAGTCCTATCGTAACATGGTGGAGAATCACTTGCTAGAGTTGCTGCAACATCATCTCTGTCGATATTATCTTCAAGACATTTGGAGCATAAAGCAGCCCACGTCTTCATAAATCTGAAAATGCTGCCGGCATCTCCGACAGTGTGGTGATTTGAGATTCCAATAGACATTCCACAGTCTGGAAATAATGTAACCTGAAGAGCAAGAACTGGGGTAGTCCTGGCTGTGGATCCGGAATCATCCTGATTAGATAGTTTCAATTCAGGAATCAGCGGATGAAAATCACAACAATTCCGTGCATGGTTTGCTGTAAGATAATTGAAATCAGTCGTGGTACACTCGGCAATGATTAGTGCTAGTGAACTTCCATTTTTGTAAAGAATTTCGGGCGTGCCAGAATTTGAATTGGAAGGAACTATCAAATTCCCGGCTAGGGGAAAAAAAGGTTGGAGTGTCAAGGAGAGTGAATGTTCAAGGTTAGGAATAATGTGCTCGATGAAATGTGCTCTAGAGAGCTGAGGTACTTCATAAAGGACGAGGCGTTCAACAGGGGGAAAGTGCAACCAGAGCATATCAAGGAATGTTAAAGGGAGAGACATTGCAGTGGCCACCGCAGACGACGGTGGCGGCACTAAAGAATGCTTAAGCACGGTGACTGAATTTTCTGTAGCCATTTTGGTCTAGTTGGCGAATGGATATATGAGCTCGTATTTGTGATCAAGAGTAGAGGAGCACAGGCACGGGTGAATATAATATATATATATATATATATGTATATATATATATACATATATATATATGTATATATATATATACATATATATATATATGTATGTATGAGGGCAAAATGCCTCAGTGACCCTCAAATTATTATGAAATTTAACTTTTAGCCCTCAAATTATTAATTGATAAGTTTTACCTCTCTAACTAATTTAAACATATAATTCTACCTTTCAGTCAACTTGAGTGGTTATGTTTAACAGATATAAAGGATTCATGAGATGTTAGTGGAGCTCAAACTATTACAAATTTTAACTTTTGACCTTATAATTATTAACTGATAAGTTCTAGTTCTCCAACTAATTAAAATGTATAATTCTACTCTTTCTATAAATTTGAGTAGTTATGTCGAACAGAAATATCTATTAATAAAGAATTTGGAATGTGCCCAACTAAGTGTTTGATATAGTGATATAAAGTTTGGAGAAATCTTACTAGAGAATTGATTATTTGAGACATAGAAAGTTCAAACTTGGAAGTAAACCAAGACTTGTTGGAATGTTCCTAGAAAATGAATCGTGCCATATTTATGTCATTAAGAGAAGCAAATGAACCCAATGGATTTGGAAGAACAGCAAAAAATGAGTGAAATTCCAAATCAACTCAATTAATTCAAGTTGCCTCTCTTTGCTAGAATTTCTCTATTTAGGGTTTTGGTTTTAGGTTTTCAATTGATTTTGGTCAAATTCAACAATTGGAGATTTGGTAAATTAATTTATGAGTCAAATGGAGTAAAATAATTTTACCCCAACACATGTCCTGCAAAGATGAAAACACCCCTCGATTATTGCCTTGCCATGCATGTGGTGATTTTTTTTGTTCAACATAAGGATTCAAATTGGCAGAAGAGTTAGAATTATATGTTTTAATTAGTTGGAGGTGTAAAATTGATCAGTTAATAGTTGGAAGGTTAAAAGTTAAATTTTATAATAGTTTGAGAGCTACTGCTGCGCATGTGCTGCTATTTTTGTTAAACATAACAGCTCAAGTTGATAGAAGAGTTAAAATTATATGTTTTAATCAATTGGAGGGTTAAAACTTATCAATTAATAGTTAAAGGGTCAAAAATTAAATTTTATAATAGTTTGAGGGCCATTAGAACATTTATCCTATATATTATTAAGCGTCAATAATCTATATCTGCACCTATTCCTACTCTTAGGAAGGGGATAGACCCAGTTAGATTATTAGGAAGCGGAGGAAACTAAACCACCTTTGAACTAAATGGATACCATTCAACATTCGTTAAATTTAGAGAAGCCACGTGGAGTGACAATTGATGAAAATAAAATTCGAAACCTTAACCTTTCATCCACAAAATCCTTAAGTGCCTTTGTGGATGTCAACCGCCCTAAGGGGCCGTTGGATGGATGAAAAAAATAATTGGGAATGTTTCAGTCAAGTTTTGCCTAATTTTGTGCGGTTTGTAAATGTTTTTTTGCGTGATTTTATGTATAATTTATACTTATAAGTTTTAATGTACGTGTGAATTTCGTTCACGACATCTACTTAATACATGATAATAAATAATTATTTTGATGTATATTAAATCTTGTTAAAATTACACTAACAGACGTAACTAGACCAAATTCCAAGATGTCACTGTGCATCCGCCATTTTTTCCTACCACCTGATTACGACTTTGCGCGGCTCCTGCACAGCAACTTTAATCTGCAGGGCTACCGTGCTTCTAATGTACCATCTGTTGAAAAAGGTTATAAATTTAGAAACCCCTCAAAAGGTTGCTAACAGTCTCACTCCCCTCCTCTAAGCTTTTCAAAATAATTAAAGATTTTTTTGACGGAATATTGGGTCCCAATTCTTATATCATTGTAGGCAAAATGACTTAAATATCCATACACCTTAGCAGAGATTTCGCAATTATTTAGACAAATTCACTTAAGTTAGTTATAAATACTATTAATGTAATAAATGATAATTTTTAAGTGCAAATAATATCCAAAATGTCATGAGAAAATGGGCGCCAAATTCAGGCACAATTTTCTGATTGATGCATATCATAGAAAGTTGCAAAGGCTACTTTGGTTGCTTTTCTTGTACTTTACCAATCAATTAATCTATCAGATATTAGTAGTTCTTATTGTTGCACTAAATGATGAAGCAACTGCTGTGTGGATGATTTACAAGAATTTCACTCGAAATATCAAGACTAGCTAATTTTGATTACGTATAAAATCAACATTAATAAGCATGTTTTTCATATTTAGATTGGCTTATGAAATAGATCAAATTGTAGTAGAAACATTTAGTTCTGGATGGACCAATCCCCGATCCCTACACGTAACTTATTTGCTCCATGGACTGCCTCGATACCCTTGGTGTTGTTTGCTACAAATAAGCATGTTTCGAAAGCATTTGATTCGCCCTCAGCCATTTTGCATTTCCCCTCGGTGTTATCTGTGTATATGATGGAAAGATTCCTTTGTTTTCATGGGAGCATTTGTGATTTTTCAAATTATCCAAATGTTAAAATAAATACTATAAAACTTTTGACATCAAACATAGGTGGAGAAAAAATTAAGGAAAAATTACAAAAAGGAAAAAGAAGAAAAAAGTATTTGAAAATAGAAAATTGAAAGAAAGTGCTTTTTTTTCTGTATATACTGTCAGCGTTGTATGATTGATAATTATGCAAAATTTAAATTTAAAATTTAACTTTTGTATATATGTTATGGATCCAACGGGTAAGTGTATATACTGATAATATATATAAGATTTACTTCTATTTAAAAGGAATTAACAAAGATAAAGGAATTTATTCATATTAGGCAATCTTAGAATTCTAGTCAAATATTTTCTAGACTAATAAGAAGTTCAAGAAAAAAATTAAAAGAAAAGAAAAGAAAAACAAACACACATAAAATAGGTTAATTTTCTTACAAGCATTTGTAGTTTATCAAATGATCCAAAATTTAAAATAAATACTATAAAATTTTTGACATCAAAAACAAGTTGAGGAAAAAAAATTAAGGAAAACTTGAAAAATTAAAAAGAATGTGTGTGTATGGTGTATACATGCATGCACGTCAACTTTTGCATTATACTTACTCTTACTCTCATCTTGATTTATTTAAAAGAGGATCTAGCTAGATAAGGGGTTTGATGCTGTCTGGGACTGGCCTCGTCACAAACGTCACGTAAGTTCAAATGACTTTTCTCCGGTGCACTTGACTGTGGCCATTATCAAGTTTTGATCTTACTAAGCCACTACTTTTTGACTACACAATCCATCAATTATCGTTCATATTATTGTGGCCCTAGGTCTCTAAAAGGATCTCAATTATCTGTCAGCAGCAGGGACGTAATTGCAATTGGAGCAAAAGTTTTAGGGGTGTTAGTGTAATTAGCTTATGGAGCCAAAAACTATTAAAAGTTAGTTATAACTGAATTTGTTAACATCAGTTCATTGCACGGGAATTCTGTGGCAAATGGATTCGGATCCATCATTGGAGTTGTATAAATCCAAGACAATGTAATGGATTGGACAACAAGAAATACAATCACAATTTTCTCCCAAATTCTTATTTTCTCTCTCTCTCTCTCTTTCTCACCTCTTTCCTCCTTTCTGTTCTTTTCTTCTTCATTCAAATCTCCCCTGAATCTGCTGGTCACATTTCCTTCTCAATTCTACTTTGGAAGGGCCTGACAAATTGGTATCAGAGCTGACGATCCTTCGGCAGCTCAAAGATCAATCAATTGCAGAGAGCACACGCTTCAAAACCTTAGAAGATCATCTCCGAAAGCAGGAACTCAAGTTGCAGGAAGTCATGGAGGATATGAAGAACATATAGCTGCAAGTAAAGGAAGAAATGGCAGGCAGGGACAAGAGATTGGATACGATCACGCTAGGCATGGATCAGAAGTTTGAGGCACTCAGTTCAATGATGAAGACACTGCTAAGCAGGGAGAAGAGTGCAGAAGAAGAAGGCAAAGCTGGCAGAGATCGTACACCATTACTACCCACACCTCCCATCCACCAGAGGCTGAACTTGGGAGCAGATGAGGAAGCTAGAAGTTGCGAGTTCTTGGGTAAGATTCCTGGCTATAATCCTCCAAAAATTGAGTTACATATGTTTAGTGGGGAAAATCCTAGGGAATGGATCAGAAAATGTAACAAGTACTTCCTACTGAATAAGGCAATCGAGGAACATAAATTGCTGGTAGTAGAGATGTCTTTAGAAGGTAGAGCTGATAATTGTTTCCAGGGAATCAAATTAGAAAAACCAAGGCTAACATGGGGGGAATTTGGGGAGCTGCTCTGTCAGAGATTCAAAGGATCATGTTGTAGAGATATTGTAGAGGAATTCAATAAGGTACTTCCTACTGAATAAGTACTTCTTGCTGAATAAGGTAACCGAGGAACATAAATTGCTGGTAGTAGAGATGTTTTTAGAAGGTAGAGCTGATAATTGGTTCCAGGGAATCAAATTTGAAAAACCAAGGCTAACATGGGGGGAATTTGGGGAGCTACTCTGTCAGAGATTCAAAGGATCATGCTGTAGAGATATTGTAGAGGAATTCAATAAACTGCAGCAAATGAGTACAGTAGAGGTCTACCAAGAAAAGTTTGAGGAGTTAAAGACATTGATGCTAATTCAGAATCCAAGCCTTAGTGAAGAATACTTCACTTCCAGTTTCACCAGTGGTCTCAAGGAGGAGATTAAACCTATGGTGAGAATGCTCAAGCCAAATACTTTTTCTGGAGTTATGGAGGTGGCTCATTTGCAGGAACAGGCTCTCAGGTTACAAGGAAGGACAGTCAAGGATGGCAACAAGGTGATGGCTGAACCAAAGTTTGGGATGTACAGGCATCCAATCTCTGCCAATAGAGGGATCAGTATTTACAAGCTACCACAGAACAACTGGCTTGTTT